GGGAAAAGAGGGAGGGGGGGGGGGGGGGGGGGTGCTTGTCGCTTACATAGCCACACTGATGTGTAAATTAACACAGGATGGAGAGTTAGCTGCAACCCGCTCACAGGACAACGCTTGTTGTTGTTGTTGGGGTCTCTGTATCAACAAGTGATCCACCGAAATCAGGGTTACACAGCTTTTTTGTTTTGAAACGGAAGTGTAGATGGCATGAATGAGTAGAGAGGCTGGAATCGTACGTCATCTTGTGTACGATGGCGAGGCTTGCTACGGTACAATGCTAAGCCAAAACTGTGGGACCACACGTGAAAAAAAGCTGCCTCAAGATTATGGTGGACCACCAAGGTCTGAATGGGGACACAACAGCGGTACCATCTCACATCAAAAAACCTTCGCACGAGGCGCGTGGCGATATCAATCCCATTGCTGCACGTACACGGGCATTTGAGACAATCTGTATCATCACCCGAACCAGCCACACATGAAAGCGAAAATCATAAACAACGCTATTGTATCATTCATCTGCAGCAGCCTGTCTGTCTGACCCACCCTGAGGTGCCCTTTTCCGACGGAACTTCGACGATCACCCCGTCTGCCGCGAGCTTGTCCAGAGTGCGGTTAGCCTTGCGGCAGTTCTCTCGAAGGGAGGTCACCGACTCCGACAACTCCATGCACCGTTTCCTCGCCTGGGTTGTCGAAACATTCCAAAAACCACGTTCGAAAACACGTTCGAAGCACTCGTCGCAGTTTTGGTCAATGGCAAAAGCCACAAGCATCACGGCATGTAAGCGTAGCGCAAGAATAAACAGGCCAACTCGCGAAGGTATCAGCAGCAGCAACAGCGGCAGCAGCGGCAGCAGCAGAGCAAGTGCCCTCCTGCGTGTCCATCGATCGATCGCACCGTGCTGGAGTAGCAAACCCATCACCGACAGCCAACCTTCTTCGTCTGCCATGCCCCCCGGGGACCACCACCAACCTGCGTCAGCTCATCGCTGAGGAAATCCCTCTCCGCCTCCAGCCTCTTCTTCTTGCCCACCATCTCCAGCTGCGCTTTGTCAAGAGTGTCCTTCCGCGACTCGGGCGGCAGGGCCATCAGGTGAGCCTGCAGTGCCTGAAACAGCCTCCCCGCCAGCTCGCCGGTGAACCTCGCCTTCTCCTTCAGGGCCTTGTCCAGCTCTGCTATGTCGGTCGCCGCCTCCGCCTTGACGCTCTCCCGGCTCTTGAGGCCGTACCCGTCGGTGTCGAGGTCGTAGAAGGCGTTGCTGGTGCCGGCCATGCCTGCGAGGCGTTCTCGGGAACTGGCCGCCTCCTCGCTCTTCTCGGGCTGCCACGAAACACGTGACGTCAGAGACACATGACGTCAGAGACACATGACGTCAGAGACAGACGTGACGTCAGAGTCACGGTGGAGGGGGGGGGGAGCGTGTGCGGAAATGAGGGTACATGCCACCGCTGCAACGACGAATGCATGATGCACGTGACTTGCTTGGCTGAAACGGCCGGTTCAACGAGGTTCGTGGAGAGGTCCTAACAACACCCCCAGCCCCCTTGAACCCATGCTATAATGTACCACAGCCCAAGAGCTGCTTCGGTTGTGGCAGGAAAACAACGTACAACAGAATGGCGCGACGCTGACTCGCCCATAAACGGTCAATACACACACAGCAAGCTACTACACGTCTGCAGGGTGATGCACGACTTTCCCTACCTTCTTCCCCATCCCCTTGAGCAAGCGATCTCCGCAGGAAAACTCCGTGGCATCCATGGCGAGGACCTCCGAGGCAGGCATGATCAGCTTCTGCATGATGGACAGCTCGGAAGCCGGTTCTTGCCCCTCCACTGGCACTGTTGGGATGATTTAATTCAAACAGCCACGCAATGAATTCAGATGTTGTGCGGCAGCTGGACAACATTCCGAACAGAGCTGGCCGAAGAAGAACTTCGTGTTGCGTGCAGTGCCCCTGAGCAAGGTGGCTCAAACGCATGGCATGCCATCAGAGGGCACACTGCAAGGAGGTGGCGTCACGTAGCACTACCGCTATATTATATGCAGTAGTACCCTGCAGACCGCACAGAAGTTAACATGGAGCTGGTGCTGATTCAAAAAACTTGTCTCACTCCAAGTTAGCTGGCCACTGAATAGACGCATCAGCACCAGCAGCACCGAGATGTCTGCGACGAAAGCACACTGCCAGTACTACCCGGAGTCCACCACGTCTGCAGCAGTACTCCGCGATCTTACGGCCTGAGTGTATCCAACATATTGGCATCCATGATGTAGTGTGCAACATCCTTATAACGGCCAACGCATGTGGCGTGTCATTCTGTGAAAAAATACGAAAAATCTCGCCTGAGAGTCCGTCCTTAACGCTGACCATGATCACTTCTCCTTCCTCCTTGTTTTCGTCATCATCGTCATCATCCTTGTCATCACCCCCGGGAGCTACGGTCACGTTCAGAGGTCGAGGGCCTAGCCCCAGTTCACCGGCTGCCGTGCTGAGGTCCGACAGCACCTGATGCGTCATGTTGCGAGAGAGTGGCAGTGGTAGCGTGAACGGGTACATAAATATACCGCGATAGGGGCAATGTCTGCAGCAGACCACGTCAGCTGCAGCGTCGTATTGGAAATCGACAGGAGGCTGCATGCGTGCGTAGCCTTGGGCGAGGAAATAGGGCTTCTTCTCAGCACTAACACCAAAACCAAAACAACGGCAGAAAAAACATCTGCTGTCGGAACAGAGCACTGCAGGACACCGCTGCCGGAACGAAGTGACGCACCGTACTGCTGGACCAGTAGCATGTACACCCCACGTACGCTACGAGCAAGCCGGTCAAAGGCGACGGTCGTTCACGAACGAGGCTACCACGACAGTGCCGTGTTCTTCGTGTGTTCATCTCATCTCTTCTGGCAACAGTCTACACACACACCTTCGGTATCAGCCGGGGTTTTACAAAGGAGCTCCTACAGTGATTGATTGGTTCTTAAAAGAGTCGCCGTCCACTTAAAATTATACGCGTCATCGGAAAATGGGCCGGAGTCTCCACTCACTAGTCCAGTTAGCCCGCTCGCTTCCAGCAAGGAGAAAAAAACAACAACCCAGGTACAACCCATGCAAGACAAAAGCCCCCCAACACGAGCCACGCCAGCCATGCCCTAGACCCACCTGGCGCCATGCGCGATTTACGGACGACAGCGTCGCATCGAAGTGCCCCTGCCGAGCCCAAGCCTGGGTAAGCTTCTTCTCCAGCTCGGCCTCCTGCCGCTTTCTTCGGCGCATGTCAACCGCAAGCTCGTGGTTCTGCTGCTGGAGGATAGACTTAGCATCGGGGCCTCCGTTGTCTCCCTGAGAGGGAGGAGAGGGAGGAGAGGGAGGGGAAGCACCAAGAGTTCGAGATTGACCGCCAGCATGCCGTGCCAAAAGAGATGCACCCGCCGCTCGCAAAAGCGACAGCACGCAGATACACACCCAACATCGAAACGGTGACCTTGAGTAGCGGGGGGTCACAAGTCGATTTAGTCTATTCTATTGTACCTTGAGTGCTGGGCTATCAAGGTGGAACATATGTTCTCATGCCGGTGAGTTTCGCCTTGGAAGTGTGGTGGCATGCAACAAGCACCTTGCAGGCGGGACGTTCATTCGCCCCTCTCAACCGAAGAGAGAGCCCATACCGTACATGTACACACGGGATGGTACCGATGTCGCGCAGCGCAACTCTGCGCCCTCCTCCCAAGCAGTGTCTCACATCGCGGCGTGTTATGCGTCTCCAAGCGCTGACTGTCACCGTATCAATGCATGGCACCCCCGGAGGTCTAACACTAGTAACGCTACCCTGTGACTACGGTGGTCTATACTGCTGTACTTGTACTCCATGTTTTCGTCATTGGCTCCCGCCGGCGGTCCCAAGCCCCAAGCTAGTACAGTACTGCTGTAAGTACGGCGGTGAGGTGGTGTGTACTTCCCTGCATCGGTGTTTTCGTCATGTGCTGATGCAAGTCATGTTCCGCGCGGAAGCCTCGAGCGGACGGAATCATGCTTACATCTGATCCCGAAGAGGTCTTCTGCAGCTTCGAGGGGCCGGGAGAGGTGGCCGCCCCGGTATCAGATACTCCTCGCTTCATGGATCCTGTGTCGTCTGTTGCCCCACAGCCTCCTTCCTCCCTTCCTCGCGTCTTCTTACGTTCTTACAACCTGGGCAAGGCGAAGGCCGTACGAAGACCGTACAAGGTATGCGTGTGCATCCAATAATAAGATTGAATCGTTTCTACCATGGCATCGGTGATGCAGCCGGCTGAATCGCTTCTTCTTCTTCCCACCTCCTGACCGACGAGCATTTCTAAAAACCAAGACATGGCAGCAGCTGTATCAGCGCGTGCGTCGGGAGAGGGTCTGTCTGCCTACATGCCAAAGGTAGCTGCCGGAGGAGCAGGAACAATCGAGCTGTGATCATGGGGCAGATTTGGTTTGCAATCTTTTGGCAATCTCTTGGTAGACGACGATACAACCCCTGAACTGCAGCCTACTGCTGTTAGTTCGGCAGCGGAGGAGGTAGGCCCATGAGCACGGGGCAACCGCCGGGCAGAGACAAGAGAAGGCAACAGGCAAGGCGAAGAGGACAAGGCTCGGGGTGCTCGACATGCGGCATGAGGAACACCAGCAATACCCGGAGCTTCCGAACGACTGCTGTTCCAGACAAATGGCAGGTCACAATGAGCAAGAGCCATGGCCTCCGCGGACATTCGAAGGCTGCTGGGTGACACCAAACAACTCCCTCCCTCTGCTTTATCACAATCGACCATCGCACCATCGCCATCATGGCATTCGATGCCGTCATCAGCGGAGGCTCCTCGTCAAGAACGCCGCGAAGGACTACATGAGATGCATCAGCGTTACTGAGCCTTGCACAGGATAATTTTAACCTCTCTTCCCTGGGCAGCCACACTCACTTGATCAGGGTAACTTCAGCATTCCTCCTCCTCGTCAGGCTCCTTGCTATCTCGTGTTCCTGGCTGCAAGTTTGTGGTTTGGTTTCTCGCGGCGGCCCCTTGTCCCTAGAGGCCCCGCACGCGAAAATATTTTTACGTGTGTGTTTATCTCTATTGCGTGCCTCCCCCGATCAGCAACAGAGCGGCGCAGACCCAGCACTGAGCAGCAGTAGAGCTCAACTGTACGCAAAGCGTGAGCCAGCCATGGCGACGATGATTATGAAGGGCTTGGTCGTGTCTGCAGGTGTAGCAGGAGTGGCGGGATTCGTGCCTCCATCCGCTGGTAGATGTACAGCCTGGAGAGGTCGTCAGGTCACAATGAACTTGTTCAACGACGGTGGGTGCCTGTGTTTTCCAAGAGGTCAGGAGTCAGGAGTCAGGAGTCAGGAGCGTTAATCAGCACAGGGCATCATTGAATATTCAAGTAGCATACCTGCCAGACTACAGCTGTGATGGGCTATGGAATATCTAAATTGGAAACATATCAAGGTTTTGCAGCATGATGTATTGCTGCTACTGCTGCTGCTGCTGCACATGATTTGCAACTGACTGCGACACGGCAGTCACCGCCTTCCTCAATCCTGCGTGCATGATTTTGATTTCCACTTCACGGCAAGGAGCAGCAACACACCTTGAGCAGCCGGCAGGCATCTCCTCTCACCTTCAACGGGGGCTGCTTGCTGCCTGCCGGGATCCAGCCACCCTACATTGCATACAGAGTTAGAGCACCGAAGAAATGGATGCTGTGCCGGCAGCTGCAGTCAGAGTTCAAATCACCCACGACGTTCGTCCTTGCTTTCTGCCGTGCAAGCTACAATCTACGAGCTACAAGCTACCAGCTGTTGGTTGTCGTCCCGTAAAAGCTTCCTCACCTGGTTCCGTGTTGTATGTGAGCATGTGAGTCCCTAAAGGATGGGCCCTTCCTCTGCCCCAAAAATCGTGTTCAACGGGCTCTCAGCGTGATGTAGCCAAACGAAAAGAACGCGTTACTGACTCCCGCGTTCTCAGATGATTACCACGTAAAAACACAGGGGGGACGTTGCCTCGGGAGGACACCACATTTGTCACCGTCCAACCTCCGCGTTGTTCTTGTTCTCTTCTTTCAGCGGCAAGGTGCGTTCCTGCCGTGCTGCTCGGGGTGACCTTGACAACATCAGCCCCGCTCTTGGACAGCCCTGCCGCACACACTGCCGTTTTGGGAGCGTCTCCCGTGTTCGCTGACGACAAGGGAATGTCTAGCGTCAGCGATTCCAAGCTCTCGGTGGGAGCGGCTTCGACCGGAGACAAGGGCGCGCGGAAAACCGTTACGCGGGGCGTGAACATCGAGAACGCCGACTACCACGACAAGGACCTGTCCAGCGTTTCCTTCCAGCAGAGCCTGGTGCGCGGGACGAACTTCAAGAACGCAAAGCTCGTGGCGGCAGGTGACCTTTGCGTAAGCGAAGCAGCTCATTGCGCGGTCTGCCTGTAGACGACCGGTCGTGGTCACACAGGACGGGTGCATCCTGCGCCCGCCCCCGCCCCTGCGTTGAGAGAGACAGAGACAGAGAGAAGATTGACAGACATACAGACAGACAGAGAGGGAGAGAGGGAGAGAGAGAGAGAGAGAGAGAGAAAGGGTGCATGTCTGTTAGGCTGGGATCCGTATCAGCTGCTGGCCTTGCCCTTTTCTCTTTGTCGCAGAACGTTTTCAGGTGATGAAAACGTCAAAGTGGCGCTTTCCCAACAACGAGAGTTTCTGACAATCAAGCGGCTGAACGCTGTGTGTGTCGCGATCGCTCGTTCCATGCGCTATGCTGCGCGCGAGAGGCCAACCGCTTGTAAACCGAAATTTGACGTACAGCAGTAGTGCGCAACATAGCCTCCATCTGTTTGGTTTCGGAATGTTTCCTAGATCGGGAAGACAGAGGAGAAGACGAGCACAACCGTTGGAGAACTAACATTTTGGGATCTGTGTATGCCCCTCCCCGGGGAGTTGCGATACAGCGACGTTTGCGAGGGCCACGCAGGGCTCACGTCTAGACATTCCTATCAACGCTACAGCAGTTTCGAGATTGAGCTCCTGCAATCCCTGCCCAGCGTCGACTGCGGTCTAATGCCTCCATGTTTTTGTTACTGCCAACCTATCAACCTTCCCATTTTTTTATTTTCTAGGATTCTTCGACGCTGACCTTTCCAACTGCAACTTCGAGTCAGCGAACATGAACCAAGCCAACCTCGAACTCGCAAATTTAAGGTGAGCTGTCGAGGCAAGACAAAGGGTTCCGAGGAGTTGGCGCACCATTCTTAGGCCTGGTCGTGGCACCCATAGCAAGCAGCATGCTGTATGTCGCCACCGCTTGCGTGTGGAGCAATACTGTCGCTGTTTTTTTCGCTTGCCAGAGGCATGGAATGGTTGTCTGGGCGGCTGGCCGTCCTCGCATGTCCACCTACTGTACGCTTTACCCGCTGTTGCACAAACAAGGGCCAGTGTATTGGTAATTGTAGTGGTGGGTTTTTGCTCCATACGCGTCATCCTACAGCTCAGTTCGTGGGGCGCGTTGAGAACGCAGCAACACACTGGCGGGTTCAATGTGTCATGTAGCTTCGTCAAACGATGTAAGGTCTTGTCCGAAGTAGTATCTGCCGTTGTCCTGGTTTTGTGAGGCTCGGTATTCGGAAACAGGGCACACCCACGGTGGGCGTTTGTCACCGTATGCATATGTTCACTGAAAAGTGACCGCCTGTCTACGCAGCTGCAGTACGGGATTCTTTTTCGCCTAACACGAGCCAACTCGACCCAGTGTTTTGTCTCGGGTTTTGGCCTGACTGCTTATTCGGCAAACCTTCTAACGCACCGTTGTCCTCGGGGCCGGTACTTCTTCTTCGAAAAACAGCGGCGCAAATATGAAGAATGCCTTGGTCACGGAGGCGTACGTCTCGGGCGCTACTAAAATGGAGCCGGCGATTATCGAAGGGGCGGGTGAGACCCTCGTCTAGTGCATTGGTTGTTCTAGACCGTGCTTGTTTGTGTCGATAATTTCAGTGGTTTTACACAAGATGCGTTGGGGTTTCTGTTTTGCTAGCGGCGTGCGAGACTACACAGAGGGCTGCTGCTTGCCTTTCCACCGTGCGCGTGCAAGACGAAGATCGTGTGTATCAGGCTTATCTTTGGCCATGTCCATCCCATGCCCCCTCTATTCCTTGCAGACTTCACAGATACGTTTCTACGGAAAGACCAGGTCAGGTATCTCTGCGGCCTGGAAACCGCCAAGGGAACCAACCCTGTTTCGGGGGTAGACACCAGGGATAGCTTGGGTTGCCCCTGACGTTTCTGGCGGGTAGGCCCATGTGTGATGTTCTCTGGTACTGATGTTGAACTTTTGTTGCTTCGGCGATAGAAGGGTTGGATAGGTGGTCGGCAGAGCTTAGGCGTTGGGTTTGTCGCATCAGTGTTGTTTCTTTAAGGGCCTCTACAACAACGGTAATGGTAGAGGCAATGACCGTCGTAAGTATTTCCGCGATATTCCTGCGACTGCCCCACGATAGGCGTGGCCACCCTAGACGCATATCATAAATAGATGGACCCGAGATGTTTTGTCAGGAGAATAATGGCAGGGCAGTAATAGAGACGCATACGTGAACACTGAGATTATTGGCTCTTTGTTTCGATGCGTGTGTAAAACCATACAGTCGCAGTTGCTTCATGCCCTGGTAATTTCGAGAGAGGCACAAGCTGAGGTCAAGGAAAACGTGTGGATAAAAGACTATGCTGGCAGACGGCGAACGGGCCGTGCGTTGCCTAAGATACCACACACAACTTTGGACTGATGTTCAAAGCTCGATCACTTTGCAGCAAACAGGTGACGGTGCCGAACATGGCGGCGTTGGCACCGCCTTTCCGAACATCCTTTTGTCACGGGTTAGTCGGGCTGTGAAACCGGTCCAGGGGGTGTGATATCTTATGTCATGTCGCCTACGGCATGCACGTGTCGCCCTCTCTGGCTCTTACCTCGCCACTCGCAACACAACGCAAGCTGTTCGCTGTGGTGCATGTATATCTACCGTTGACAAGGGCTTCGGCGCCTCCACGCGCATCAAGCCGTACACAAAGACCGAAGAAGCAGTGTTGATGTCCAAGCACAGACAGCACCGAGTACAGGGGTGGGAGGGCATCGGGGGCGGCAATACCTCTCCCGAACTACAGCTACAGCTACATGAAACCCGAGGTTCCGCTCTTCCTCAAGCACTTGGAGATTATCAACCTTTGTCCGGCAAGGGATAAAATGACACGTCGTTACAGACCGGGCGCAGTAGTCCCGGCCAGCTCTGAAGCCTGCCTGTCTTCCTCCAAAGTCAAGGGGTGGGGAGAGAGGAGTCACACCACAAACCACCGTTTGCAGCGAGCACGTTGAATTGCAAGCGGTGCCGGGCGTCGTGTCCACTGGAAGGAAGGTCGAGAGATAACATGCGACGGTTCCCAGAAAGCCTCTCAAGGTGTTGCCATCCAACTCCCAGAACAAAATAATTCGGCCACCAAACGAAACAGCCCCGATACCCAACAGAGTCCGCAGCGAGGTATGCATACAACGAGACAGGAGACTGCGAACAACAAGTCCAGAAAAGAAAGGTGTAGCAAAGACACAGGTCGACCACAGGATGGGCGACGACGGCGAACCAGCGTGCGCACCCTGTCGGGGCGTGTACGGAACACGACGGGCTGGCGGCACCCAGGCGCACCGAAGCCCGTGGTATGTATGTGAAAAACTTGAGCAGGCACGAGGCAAGCACGCTTGTGATAGTGACTTCCAAGACTTACACCAACAGGATGGCACATGTTTTTAACCGAACATACAAGAGGGAAATCCATCTTCTAAAGACGCGGTGCGTGCTCCTGGGATTGAGAAGGCCCAACCCAATGGATCTAGAACAAGGTGCAGCAAAATCAGCGCAACCAAGCACCTCCTTCGTTCTCCGCTAAGCTTAGCAACGTGTGCTGCTAGCTGCTAGTTTCCGAAAAAACACACGAGCCTGTCTGTATCAATCTTGACCTTGACACTCAAGTGAGGAAGGCGGCCTTCAGGAAAGAAGAAGACAGCGCAGTCTAATGGCGAACTAAACTACTACTGCCGCTACCCACGGCTGCCGCCACCGACGTACCTCCACGATACAGACCATCTCTACCATAACAAGGGGCATCACATAATGGCAAATTAATCGTCCCGGCTGTCAAGGTCAAGGTCAAGGTTAAGGTGAAGGTTCCTCTAGAGGCAACGACAAGACAAGACAAGACCCAGATCCATGAGGAACCAAACCCAGACTCGCTTCTCCACGCGGCAGCTGGCCGCCCAACCCCCTGAGGAGCCAACCATCGCGTCCCGCGAGGCCGCAAACCAACTCCTCCGGCCAGAAAACATGCTCACGCACAAACAAGCCACCGATTCTAAGCGCCAGGACCGAGTCGCCTAAGCGTCGTGTACGGGCTTGTTCGTCTCTCTACTTTGTGGTTGATGCTGCTGGCTGGATTGTCTCGCCCCATCTTACTCGGGTAGGCAAAGATGCACACTCCCTCCAAGCCTCCTTTCTAGCGTCATCTCTTCCTCTTCATCTCAGGCCCACAGACAACAGAGGAGCCTCCTTTTCTTATCCCTTCCCCTTGGCCTCTCTCCGCCTCTTCCTCCTCTCGGGCCGACAGACAAAAGGCGAGCAGCTCACTTCCTGGCTCCCTTTTCCCGCCTGTGACAAAGGACCAAGAGGCAGTACCCGGGAGGGGATGGGGGACATGATACATGACTCGATACATGATGTGAGGGGGGACGGTCAAGTGTGGCCATCGAGAGTCGAGCGAATGGAATATTCCGAGTGCTGTATACTTCAAACCCTTTTCTGGCGGTAAATAGGGACTGCTGCATGCTTATGGTTCGGCCTTCACAGGGCGTTGCGCCGCAATGAACCGCTGAAAAAAAATACTGCTGTATCCACACACACAACTCGCTCTGTTGCTTTCTTATTTTGGTACTGTATCTTCCCCTTCGGCCTGAACCCCGGTTGCCATGCCCGTGCCTGGACCACTGCCGGCGTACACAGGAGTTTTCCCACCTTGTAGCGTCGAGTCAACTGCCGCCGTCGTCTGTTGTTACTATTAATACAAGTAATAATGCTTTTCGTTTGTGGGGGGAGGGAAGGGGTGCTGCTTCGTTCGAGTCCTTCCCGGTGCTGGTTACTGTTACTGTTAATGTACTATACTCGCTTGCTCCTGTCTCCTGAGGGTGGGTGGCGCGCACGCGCTGCCCGCCTCTCTCTTCTCTCTCTGCCCCTCTCGCTCTGCGCGCTCCCGGTATCATGCCTACTCCCTGTGCCCCCCCTCCCACGTGCCATCTGCTTGCCTCCCTCCCTCCCCCTTTCCCTCCGAGAAGTCTTTCATACTCTTGTCGCTCACACCACACAACCAATTCCTTGAAAACATGCGTCCGCACAATATGGTCCTACAGGTAGAGGCAGGAAGCCCCTGGGGCTCCAGGCAGCCCTACAACATGGGTGTGGATTATGTATAAAATCACTATTGTATATTTATATAAATATATTTTGT